CACCCTGCAGAGAAACCCAATCTGACCTTTTAAACGTACCATCAGAAACAAGTCAGGTTCCAGCCCTCATGAAACAGCTACTGTGGACTTCAATTGTGTTTACAGTTCATCAAGCATTTTTTTGATTGGGAAGATTAAGCAAAATAGACAATAGTTTGAACGTGTTGTTTCCCCATCTGAAAGGTCAGTTCTCTGCCATGGCAACATGCCAAATAAACACTGACAAGTGTTAGAAATTAAAATCAATGGTTTTAATGGGGAAATGTAGGTTTAAACCATGTCCGTCAGTTTTACATGCTCTTTATACTGAAAACCCAGAAATTCTTGGTGGCACAAGACCAGTTTAAGCTTCTATTTTCTGAAAATCCCTTCATCTACGGTTAGCATTTGAGCATTGGCGTACATATGACGACTTTCCGCTTACAAAGAGGTGCCATTTAGTAGCCGAAATTGAGGGGGTATGGAGGTGTTGGCAGAACCGACAGCCTACGTGATTTAAACACTACAACTAAGATGTCGAGCATACTACCTGCTGACATATTAAATGACAGGTTACAGTTTGTACTTGGCACGGATACATTTGGACTTGTGTTACAGGCACGGGACGGATGCGATGTGAGCCACATCCGGCAATGACCGGAAGAACCCAAACGAGCCGAGAAGTATTTTTTAGAGGTATTGATCTTACCAGCGTTTAGGAATGTGTTTACATGAAAAGTGATGCCCGCGCCCTTCTCACCCCCGCCGGCCGACCACACACCGCGTCTCCTAAAATTGAAGAAGAGAGCCCGGCCTCTCCTTGGTGGTCGCTGTGAAGCAGCGACAAGCGGGACATTTGTAGAGACCTGCACCGGGGGGCTGGCGGGGAGGGAGCCAGCAGAGGATTATGATAAGAGCACCGGAAGCAGAGATGCGCCTCCGTTCTCTTCCCGTAAACGAGGAGCGGATCACAGCTGTTTGTCTGACTGAACAATATCTGCTTTTGTGACCAACCCCGCGCCTTTTATTAATTTAACAGTACCCAATTTGAAACTTTCACCCAGAGACGTTCCATTTAGTCCCTTTTAAAGCTTCTCCTCCTGACGGGAGAAAACGAACACAGTTTAACCACAAGCTTCTTTGTTTGTTTACAGCTAATCTGAAAGTCAGGAATATGTTTTACGCTGCATACCGTTGGAAATGAACTTGGACTATTATCATCCGAAACCTTTTCTCTGGAGATGTTCCCTGGGCATGGAGGAGATGCTGAGCGTGGGCGAAGTCGGGAAAGCAACGGTTCCAGTTTTGTGAGCTCAAGAGCAATATTTCCTGGTGGAAGAACCTCCCTGAAAAGAAACAACGACATGAGATTGGTCCTATTTTGTCATCTTTACGCTATTTCTTAAAGAGTAAATGTTAAACCATGGGAACAATCAGTACGTCTGTTTTGTCTGACGAACTGTAGGCCTAATGGTCCACAATTAAAATACTAGATATATGGTGTAAAACTACATTTTTTGTAGACTTGAAAAGGATTATTGTTTGGGAAAGAATGTCCTAAAAATAGATAATTATATTTGTATGTATTTTTGTTCGCTGCGGGGAAGAATATAAACGACACATAGTAGGGTGACGCTTTGACAAACCTTCAACCAGAGGGCAAGCAAAAATCTGCACCGCTTATTTGAGTTGTTCTTTACAGTTATATAACTTTCCACTCAACCTCTTCTTGAGCTTGCTCCCTGAAAATCTGCAATCAAAGAGGAAACAGGTTTGATTTTTTTAATATACATCATGCTTTGACATTGAGATCTCTAGAACCCCTGTCACCACTTGTCCCGAAATTGAACACCCGCAATGGACATCACGATTAAAGGAAAAGTTCAAATTCGGACTGCTGATCGTAACAACATCGGGCCATTCGTGAGGATCTTAAGGCCATCGTATGACCGCGGTGGAGTTCTCAGGGCTCCGGCAGCAACTTCGGCGCTTGAGCGGCAAGTTCTCGTAAGGAACTCGTGAGGGCATTCCTTGTCAAGATCGGAGGCGGTTCTGTTATTCATCGGTTGCCATCGGGCCATTCGCCCTCACCTCTTATCGGGGCGAATGCCCGATGGCACCGATGTATACAAGATGCTCTCACGATGGCCTTACGAAGGGCAAGGAATTGGACACCACGGAATTCAACACGGAAAAATAGAACCCTTCGCAAGGTCCTTCGCGCAATTTTTTTGGCATGCCCAAAGATTTTGCCACCGCTCACGAACACTTGCTGCCTGACGGAATCCACGGCGCGGCAGTGGCGGTGTCTACGGGTGGCCACGGGGTGCAGCTGCCCACCTCAAGAAAAATGCCCTTGCCACCCCAGCTCCAACCCATTTGGCAGGCTTTGTTTTGAAAGAAAGAGTGTGCGCTCATCGACATTCATGAGAGAAAATCTCTAATTCGCAGTGCAAGTGAATGCAGCACAAGGACGCGAGCCTTCGTAACCCTCCCCCACCTGGCGCGAGCTTGGAAATATGATTGGGCGGCGATTTCACTTTGAACGAGGAGGACAGCACAAAACGAGAAGGCATTTCGATACAAGTAGACAGAAGCAGTGGGTGTAGTGGGCGCTGGACGCGGGGGTCCGCGGCTACCCCCACTTATTTGAAGCATGATTTCTTTTTTTAATAGTCTAATAGCATCTAAAATCGATTGCCAGTGTTATCAGTTGCAAGTGTGTGTTTGTGTATTAATGGACGAAACATAATGTAGGGGAGATTTCACGAAGTAGAATATAATATAGAAACGTTAGCTCAAACATTTATGCAACTTTATTTGAAGCGTGTGTGGTGTGAGGGGCAGAACCGTCGGTTGTGTCAGGTTGACCAGGATGTTCCCGCACTGTGCGGGACTGCACACACAGACATTTTTTTATTTGTCCCGCGTCCCACACATTGAGACTATGTCCCCGCATTTGACGTGATTGTCGCCGCAGAAAGGCCGGCATCGTTCGCTCCGACAGCACTGCATGTACAGTTGCTGCCAGTACATCTCTATCTATACATCGGTACAACTATAAGACCCACGTTTGATGATTGATAGGTGTGTGGGCTGTCTTTAATTTGACACAGAGGAAACGAATGGGGGCAATCCCACCCTTATCCACAATGTAAAGTAATTCACACAGCCTCTCCCCTTCCTCTCTGTGAGGAGCAAGCAGGTTCACTTTCAGAACAAATTAACAAAACAACTAAATGGCATTAAAATTTTAAGATACTTCGTGTAGTAATATATATGTATTTATTTTTCTTCGTCAAGAGAGCAGCACCAGTATATGTGCATATGTGTGATGACTCTGAGCTATTTCAAAAATCGTCCGTGGCGGGGAGAATCCCCCAGAACCCCCTTGCAGGGGTTGGGGTTTTCCAACACTCTTTCCACGTGTGGTCGGAAATTGGGGCAGGATCCTGGCTCAGGTCGCCCGTTTTATTAAATTACAAGACCAAATGACTCCTTTTATTTCAATACAGTTTCAATTTGGATTGTAGACAGGAAATAAATCTAAACCTCCGCGCGGTGGCGTTTTCACTGTCAAGGGAAGCCGTGTATGTTAATTACATTGCAAATACTGACACCCTCTGACGCCCCACCCACTCGTAGTCGGGTCTCTAGCCCTCCACCATAGATTTACCCAACACAAATACTCTGGCCGCCCGCAACTGTGTTGCGGTCACTATGACAGAGAAGAGCTGTCAAGTTTTGGCTGTACTCAGCATTGAAATCAAAACGCACCATAGCTTTAAATCTTAATAAGTTCGTGAGGTGTTTTGCTGAATCAAGATGGTAATCGCCACATCAGCTGTATAAGCAATGCCAACTTGATTGCTCTGCTCACGGATGAGTCGATGACAATTGAATAAACTGTTAAGAAGATGACCTACATGTGGGGTGTGGCCGCCCCGTGGGCAGTCTGCCGACTAAATACAATGTTTCCTTCTTTGTGGGGGGCCTCCCCCAAAAACAGTTTAGTTATTCTCAGTCGACTCATCCGTGAGCAGATCATCGAAACGTGCATGGCCTGATAACAGTGCTGAATGTGGGCGATTACCATCTTGTATCAGCAAAAGCCACCTCACAAAGTTATTAAGATTTAAGGCTATGTGCGTATTTGATTCAATGCTGAGTACAGCCAAACTTGACAGGCTCTTCTCTGTCATAGTAGACCGCAAACAGTTGCGGCGCCAGAGTATTTGTGTTGGGTAATCTATGGTAGGGCTAACCCATACGGTGGTGGGGCTCAAGTCAGTATTTGCAATGTAATTACATACACGCTCCCCTTGACAGTGAAACGCCACGCGTGAGGTTTAGATTATTTCCCTGCCTCAATCCAAATTGAACTGTATGAAATAAAAAGGCACATTTGTCTTGTAGTAAATAAAAGGGCGACCTGGAGCCAATCCTGCAATTTCCCCACAGGTGAAAGAGTTGAAAACCCAACCCCTGCAGGGATTCTCCCCCAGGAGATTTTTTGAAATACTAACATCAAATACACATTCTGGTGCTCTCTTGCGAAGAAAAATAAATAAATATATATTACTACACGACGTATTTAAAAAAATGAATGCCATGTTACTTTGTTCTGAAAGCTGAACCTGCTGCTCCTCACAGAGAGGAGAGGGAAGAGGCTGTGTGAATTACTTTACATTGTGGATAAGGGTGGATTGCCCCCATTGTTCTCTGTGTCAAAATTAAAGACAGCCCACACACCTATCAATCATCAAACCGTGGGGTCTTATAGTTGTACCGATGTATATAGAGATGTACTGCAGCAACTTACATGATGCTGTCAGCGAACCGATCCGGCCTTTCTGCGCGACAATCACTCAAATGCGGGACATAGTCTCAATGTGTGGGACGCGGGACAAATAATAAAAATGATGTGTGTGCAGTCCCGCACAGTGCGGGACACCTGGTCACCCTACACACACGGTTCTGCCCCTCACACACACACGCTTCAAATCAAGTTGCATAAATGTTTGAGCTACGTTTTTATTATATTTACTGTGAAATCTCCCTTTTATGTTTTCGTCATTAATACAACAAACACACACTTGCAACTGATAACACTGGCAATGATTTTAGATGTATTAGACTATTAAAAAAAGAAATCATGCTTCAAATAAGTGGGGGTACGGCGTACCCCCGCGTCCAACGCCCACTACACCACTGCTTCTGTCTACTTGTATCCGAAATGCTTCTCGTTTTGTGCTGTCCTCTCGTTCAAATGAAATCATCATATTTCCAAGCTCGCGCCAGGTGGGGGGAGGGGTTACAAGGCTCGCGTCTTGTGCTGCATTCACTTGCACTCGGACATTAGAGATTTTCTCTCATAAATGTCCGATGAGCCACAACTTTTCTTTCAAAACAAAGCTGCCAAATGGGGTGGCAGCTGGGGTGGCAAGGCATTTTTCTGAGGTGGCAGCTGCCACCCCGTGCCACCCCGTAGAACCGCCACTGCCGTGGTTACATACCATATGCAAGACGCACAACTCGTACTGAATTCTGTTCAGCTTATATTCATTTACCATTGACATTGTGTTTGTATTATTATAGAAGTAACAGCTGATTTCCGAAAGACAGTAACAGGATAAAAAAAATGGAAGAAGAGGAGAGAAAGACTCACATCTTTGTTGGGGACATCTGCTTGGACCAATGTTCCATTTAGGCACGACTCCACATAATGCAATTCCTCATTGTACTGTAGGAAACAAAAGTAATAATTAAAGTTACAGTTTGTTGTCGATTTACATGTTACTGTACTTACAGATATGTCTAATCTTATTTTTCAAATGCAAACTGTGAAGATGTTAGAAACTTCCCTCATCTTGATGGAAACCGCACACACATGCACACACTGTTCTGTACACAATGTGTCCAATGCCTGCAATACTGTGATAATACTCATCATTTAATGCATGAGCGTGAATTAGACTTCAAAGACCGAGAAAGAGAATAGAAGTGTGTTCTTCCACAGCCAGCAATATTACCCTCAAGTGTGTGTGTGCATATTCATCTGTGAATATCTGTCTTTGTGTCTGTATACAGTGCAACATGAAACAACTCTCACCACAATAAAAAACCATAAAAACTTTTACATTTTGTGTCTTCTGTAGGAGAAGACGGTAACACAGAAAACGTAGCAGGAATCAAAACAAGAAAGAAATAGATGAGTCAAAATGACACATCCTTTTAAAGAGTGTTCGGGGAAAACAATATGTTTCTGCCTGATTGTCTAAATCCTCTTTTCCGTTATTTTTCAAAAGAATAATTTTCAAAATAACATGATTAGGTTAACAAACGATAATGAAGACTTTGTTCTGTGGGGAAAAATAATGGCGGCTGGCAAAGTGACTAGCGTTTTGATGTGAAACAGCAGTGAGTGGTCGCACACACACACACACACACACACACACACACACACACACACACACACACACACACACACACACACACACACACACACACACACACACACACACACACACATTGAGTTTCATCAGACTGAGATGCGATAACAATGGTTTCGGTGCCTAAGGCAGGACCCAATCACAACTGTCTCTTTTGCAATTCAAATCTTCATTCAGCTTACTGCTAATTGGTTGTGAGCGTGACAAGAAAGAAAGCTGATTCGTTCCAGCATTTCCTCTGATCTGAGGAGGAGCGGATGTTGGCCTGTGTGTTGTGCATGTGTGTGTGAGAATCTATAAAATCAGGTTAAGTCGTTTATGTTGCAGCTGCGTTGACTTACAGCAATGATGTTAAAAAAGTCGTCGTCTCCAAGAGTGTCCAGTATGGAGGAGACCGTCTGCCTGGCGATGGTCAGTCGGAGTCCTTTCATGCTGCCACTGACATCCACCAGGATAACAACATTCTTTGGAGAGGTGGCAGCCTGGATGTACCACTTCCGGTTTCGACAGTCAAAAGCTATGACCCCGTGTTCATCCGGCTTCCACTTGATCCCTTGAAGAGACAAAGTCAGCATCACAAGTCAAAAGATGAATGATGAACTGCAATATTGCTAGAGTTGCATCATTTGTCACACAGGAAAACAAACTGCTGCCTTGGATGAAAGAGAAATATGGTGGCCTGAGAGACGGTTCTTTGAGACCTAAAGGCTCTCTGCCCAATCACACGACATGCCTTATAGAGATTTTGTTCGCCAGATTTTAAAAAAAGCAAACATATTTTCTCAATTACTTCTAGTGTTTTGTGGCCATGCAGATAAAGATTTTAGATGTCCTTCCAGTACAATGGAGGTGAATGTAGTGCTGAGAGAGCTTCAACAAATACACTGAAAAATTCAACAGCAACATCCCTCTCTCGAAACTCTTCCTGTGTCAAAATTGCACACAGAATTGTTCACGTCGGTTCATTATGGTGAACTTTAGGGGATAGAATAGAAAGAATGTAGAGTCTTTATGCGGCTGTGACTTTGGAGGCTTCCAGGTCAGGAAACTAACAATGGACTGAGAGGAAGCCTTTTGATAGCCAGAGCTGCAAAGAATATATATGTCAGACATAGAATGGGAAGTATTATATAAAAGGCATAATTAAGAGCATTCGTATGCAGTTTCAAGAGGTCAAAAGATAACAAAATGAGCCTTTCCATTTGTTTTCTAATATTGTGTGCTACAGAGAATATTAAAATATTCACCAATTCCATTCAATAGGCTACTTTTCATTATTATGCTACCCCTGTTCTTATTCTTTCCACTTCACCTTAAAATGTTAATTTTATCCATCTTCACCCACTCTAATCTCTATAAACACTCTCACCTATCTCTCTGTTATTCTCTCTACTCTCCCCTCTACGCCTTTACTCTCACCCCGCTAGCCTCAAGTCTCTAGCTTCTAGTGACTGAACAATCCTTTACACATATGTTTCTGCTATGGGAAGACAGCAACTTAATTACAAACATACATACACACTCAAATTCAATAGCCACTACCTTACATTGCTTTATCATTACAAACACACTTACCTGGGTACTGCCTGAAAAAGCCTTTGGCACTGCCAAAGTACTGCCAGATGAGTGATGGGTCCCTCTCAAAGTTATCAACAAACACTTTATTCAAGGCCTCGGACCAGAACACCCCGTTGACGATTGCAGAGTCTAAGGATTAAAGGGAACAAGACAAAGAGATGAAGAAGTATGGAGAGTAAATAAAACAGCATTTCAGTAAAAAGCTTACTATTGTTCTACAGTCCAGGAGGTTGGAAGATATTCTCTGGTGCCTGCTCAACTACTCATATCGTATCATACACTGCACCTCTGAGGATCACTATCAGGGCCTATTCATTACACAGGGAAACAGGGACAAATGTTTGCAGTAAAACAGAGTGAAAAGATGAGTGAAGAAACAATTATTATACAGATAAAAGAGAATGGAAATGGAAGAAATGGTAGGCTATTCTGCCCTACAAAGGTAACATGCAGTCACTCCATATTTGATTGATAATAGCGTTAAGACCTGAATCTTACTTTGTGAGATCTTTGTTTGGATATACAAATACTCATATCATATTAATGTACACTTACTGTGAGACTATACTGAATTATGTCTTTGTGTTTGCTGCTCAGACTGCCCTACCTTTACTTTGGCTTAGTATTGTTTTTTACTGAACTTGAAGAACTCTCTGCCACACATAGCTTGCAAACTAGACAGCTAAAGCGAAAAAGCTGCATAAATGGAAAACCATAATAAGGCTGGACTTAATTTAAACAGTTTTCTATTGTTGATTTTCCCCAGCTCTTGTCTGCAGCTCTGGTCACTCAGTTTCATTATTTCACACAACTTGACGAGGCAGCAGCTATATTCAATCACAATAAAACTAAAACAGATAATATGATATAGCGTTTGCTTACAATTCTATCCAAACTGATTGTGATGTATGGTGGGGTATATCCAATCATTGGAACCCCTTTTCAATTTACGGGTTGCAAGACTAGTCAAGAATGAACTGGCTTGCCAGCCAAGCCTATTACAGTTGCTTACTACCACAATTTTGCCTGGATCAGAAAATATAGAAGGAGAAAAAGGATGAGGAGACAGACAGACACAATCACACAGTAGGGGGAATATACAAAATAATGTAGAGAGAGAGAGATAAAAAGGAAAGCCAGGAAGGCAGGCAGAACATTACTGAGGGACAGTCACACAGACAAGTACCTAATGGACACAGAGAGAGAAAAGCAGATAACAGATTTCCCATCATCTTCTATGCTGGCAACATTGTTCTGCTGTCATGCCAATAAGCCATGATTGAATTAGTCCTCTGGATCTAGTACACTAAAGCCCTCTCTGGATAGTAAACACCCATCCACCTCTATGGAGTGGGGTGGAGTGGAGAGGAGGCTGGATGTGATCCAGGCTCCATTTACACAACAATACAGTCACTTCTGGTGCAGTCTGAGTGTCTATTGCAACTGAACTCGTCATGATGAGGCAGGGAGTATGGGCTCTACTTTCCCCCTAAGCTGTCATTTATATTCATCTCAACTAATGCTCTCCTTAATTCGATCTGATCAAAGGAGCGCACATGATGTTTTATAATCACACGTGCTCAATGTTTAAAAGTAGAACTGTGTAGGTTTCCCACTGCAACAGTCAGAGTGATCAGATCGAATTGACTTTGCTTTAATAGCTTTACAAGGGTTAGGAGAGAGCAAGAGTAGAAACGAGGGAGTAGTGACAAGTGATGAGTGCACATGCTCACGGGAATGTGAACACTACTCTATCTCAGAGAGTATAAAGGTATACATGGACATTAGAGTGTATCGACATACTGGAAATGTGTGCATGGCTTCACTGCGTACATGGCCCATGTTCCTGTCATGTAGCCTCATAAAGCATGATGGTCTATGTTGTGTTTTGGTTGCAATGGGAGTTTGGAAGATGGATGCTCGATGTGGTGTGTTTCTCCTGCGATTAATCTCTGGGGGCATGAAGCTCTCTGCTATCATGGACTCAACCCCTAATACATCACGGCTGCCATCAAACCATTTATGATGTACACAGGCTGCAGCCAGCTCCTCAGCCGCATAAAAAACAGGTTCAGACGACAGTGACTTGTTATACGTGCAGGGGGGGGAGTCAGAAATATAGTCGGATGTAATCTGAAAAAGCAGTACTGATATAAGAACACAGTCCTCATTCTCAAAATCTTGTTCATGTTATAAAAGGTTCATTTGCAGCGTTTGCCATCTGTTAAGCTTTCAAACCCGTAGAGGTTTTTTCTATAACTGGTTTGACTGGATCATAATTCTTCTTATCATATTAAACAGTTGTGGCAAGAAAAAAATATGTACCACACATACAAATACAAAAAAATACAGAAGAGGAATACAAAGGTTCTTTGTTCACTACTGTGTCAATAGATACAACAGAAATTGCAGATGAATACCAAAGTAAAAAACAATTTAAAAGTATGTTGAAAAATGTTCCCACCCCCCCATTCCGTGATGCTTCGCCCACCAAGGCACTGCACTCCCGGCAGTCTCAGCCAACACAATCCATATTATCACTATCAGTTAACAAAGCCTGGAGATCTAAAACTCTTAAGTTCTCTCCGTGTGTGTGTGTGTGTGTGTGTGTGTGTGTGTGTGTGTGTGTGTGTGTGTGTGTGTGTGTGTGTGTGTGCGTGTGTGCGTGCGTGCGTGCGTGCGTGCGTGCGTGTGTGCGTGTGTGTCCAAGAGTGGTTGTATGTGTTGACTAAGTCAATTATGCCATTTCAGCAGTACAGTGAAGGAGTGCCCAGTGCCACTAATGCAGTCCCTGATCATGGTGTTAACAACCTGATCTTTAACGTTGCAGTGCATTACGCTGAGAGATCGCACATGTTCCATCAGCACCCACTCACTCAGTGTGGTGCAGACAGAGAGGAAGAGGACGAGGGCGGGTTACTGCAGGAAAACATGGAGCATATTTCAGGTCCCTGCTTCAAAACATGAGCCCCAAAAAGTGAATTGCAGATTGCTGCATTCACATTGATGTGTAAGCACCATTCACTAAAAGTGATACATTAATTCATGAATCATTTGATTATTTTCTCTTGTTCTGATTTCTTGCATTTCTTTGGGTTATTCTTCTTTTTTTATTCACTTCTTTTTGTAATTTGACATCTATAAAATGGAATCCACATAAGTAAAAAGGAAAGGAAAAAACAAATGAACTGTCTCAGTAATCCTTTAGCTTTCATTTGCTATTTCCAGTTCAACATATACAGTATAAAGATGTGCGGCCTTTCTTTGTCATGAAAACAACATTTATTTTAGTTAAACATTTGTTGAACTTCAATAAATTAGGCAAATAAATAATTCAACAACATACATGTGAGCCAATCTTATTATCAGGTTTTGTGTTCCAGTAGTACATGTTTTTCTTGAATAGTCTCTTTTACATTCATTCTTATAATGTATTTTGTCGAAGCACTTTGCATTTGTCAGTAGTACTGCCTTTTTCACAATATTTTGTATGCTCATTGATGCTGATTAAGTTATTATTATATATTTTGGGTTATTTTGGAATTTAAAACACTTTGCAAACGGTCTCAGTAGGTTCTAAATAACCCCTCTATAAAAAAACCTACAGGAAATGTATCTCACTGTTTTCTGTCGACTGGTCAGAATCTTTTTATGATTGCTGAGACTTGGCCAGGAAGGCACACTCTGAAGTTTGACTTTAAATGCTGCCATTTTCCCACAATCATTGAGTTTAGTGGCTATTTCAAGCTAGTGCACAATTTCAGTTTGTTTATCTCTCTGTTTGCCACTGGTGCCGTAGTCATGAAACATCCTAGTACACATTATTACTCCTAGTGACAAAGTCTAAGAAAATACATTTTCCTTTGAAATACAGGGACTCTAAAGAGGCTTATTAGATTAGATTCAAACCAACAGTGCTACTTATATAGAATGGCACTTGTCAATAACTTTGAAAATGAGGTGCATGGTTATCACTCATATGCAGGTAAATGTAATCTACTGTGCAAGTAGGCTATCTTGAAGGAAACTTGTAATGTCTGTCAATGTATTCAACAGAGACTAAACAGGGTTATTGATTGCACCTACCTATTACACTGTCAATTAATTTATTTTTAATCAACCAATTCCACCTTCTTTAAATAATTTGTAACTCTAAGATCAGGGTCACCAAACCTCCTCGATAAGGGAGGAGGTCAAACTTTCTGTATCTTCACTGCTCTGACATGCTCTTCAACCTTTCAATCATCACTCCTAGGCCAGGTCTCCTTACTAGATAGTTAGGAGTTCACCTAGACTGTTAAAATGCTCGGCACATGGAGTGTAGCTAATTTCTTGTATCCTTCTTTTAAAGGTCCCATGTCATGCTTTTCCGGTTATTACCCGTCCCCTTGTGTGTTATGAAGGTTTTTATGCATGTAAACGGTGTGCAGACTCAAAACCCTCAAAGTACACCCTTTAGCGAGTAAAACTCTAACTCAGAAAATACCTCCCCAAAACTTTTTCTTACTCAATATCAAGCCACACTTATTGTTTTTACATCGGCTGTGAGTTTGTGTGTGCTCAGGATGAGTTTGGCTGTGTTTCGCTGTGTATCGCTAAACAAGGAAACCACACCTCCACGGAGCTCAGCGCGATTCACAACGTCCCGACCAATCAGAGCACACTGTGCTCACAGGGAGGGTGGGGCTTGGAGCTACTGGAGCTACAACGAGCCGTTAAAGGCAGAGAGTGAAATTCAGTGAATACACGTAGTTTACAGAGATGCTGTATGAGAAACCAATGTGAGTTTGGAAAATTGCACAATATAAATCTATTCTAGTAGACCTCAACAATTATGATCAGTGGAAATGGCCATGACATGGGACCTTTAAGTATCTGTGTATTAAAAAAGTAAAGCCAGAATTAGGAAAAACCAACAAAGGTTCCAGTGACCATTTGCACCTTAGCATCCTACATGAAACTTGTCATTAGGTATGTAAATGTGTGACCAACATGCCTACATACAAAAAACACTCCTGTTGATTCTGATAAATACTCTTTTTTCAAAGTGATTCAACAGCCTTGAGGGGAAGAGAGAGGAAGTGAGACAGATTGGAGACCTCGTGTGAAGCGGGGGGTTTACCGTGGCG